TTTCCCAGAAGTCACTGAAAATACTGGAAATGACATATCCATTTGTATGCTGTGTCTCAGATAATGTTTTTTTTCCTGCTAGCATGGGTGTGCGCCCGCACCTATGTGAATGTAGTACTCTCTGAATAATATCAGAACTCATGGTCTGGAAAACTGGCACTATAAATATACTTTTACTTTCATTTCAGCAACTTTGGATTTATTTTTAAAACCCACATATCCTCTCTACCTTAAATTTTCTGATTTTTTACTGGAGTTGCATGCTAAATACTCTAATTAATTATCTTTAAAAATGAAGATACTTTGTCATCGTAATGAAATTCAAATAAAATATATGTCTCTTAATAAGCAATGAAGCCAATAACTTTCTGTGAAATTCAGGTATTCATTCAACTGAGCCATTCGGCAGATTTAGAGAAATAATGCCACCGTGTTTTCAGGGCATGTGGCAAAGCGCAGTAAACCTAGAATCAAGTTTTTGTATTGTATCTAAAGTAGAAAAAAGCACGTATTACAAACAAAGCGTGCAATCATTGCAAAGTGTGAATCGGTCACAACCATCTTGAAGACAAGCACCTGTACCATACTCCACGTAGAGAGGCATATAAATGTAATAAAGTACATCCATGTGTCACTGCTGTGCATAAGTGTCTAACTCCTGCACATGTAGCTAAAAAGTTTGAGGACTGGAACTAAAAACCAGATTTCCATTAAAGAACACATCAAAATACATTTAATCCGTATCCTAATGATCCATCAAAGATTGAAGTGCACTACATTAAGGAAACACACAATAAGCATCCTAAGGAAACTGGGAATGAACCACCCATGTCTAAAATGTTACACCCAGTAACTTTGTCGTCTACTTCACAGCAGTCTTCATTTGAATATTACTTAAGATTTTAAGATTTCTGGATGGATGACATCTCCTTAGATGCGTATACGTGGCACAAGATGACCTCCTTGTTCAGATCCTGTAAGGTTCTGCAGCTTGGCTGGGTTGTTTGATAAAGTGAGTCCTAGGAACATGATTTTTTTTTAATCTCCTTTATCAAGGTAATCTCTTCACTGTACTTTTGCATATCAGGATGCGCCCATTGAAAGAATTCCTAGTAATTCTGCCCTTTTTCAACATAACAAAAGAGAACAACTTGAGAACAGAGCCCACCTCGATTTCTTGGTATGAACTGTTGATCATAGCAATCAGCATGTTGAGCAGAACTACCACCATCGTTACATTGTATATGCCATAAAGAACATAACCAATGTTCTCTATGAACTTATGATCATATTTGAGGACAACAGAGGTTACTTCAGACAAGCCAAATATTGACCAAAATAAGGTCTTGAAACTTTCTTCCACTCTGTAGGAAAAAAAGAGGAAGGCATTATTACTAACTACACAAATATATCAGTTGTGCTCACAGCAAGTGCTAAACAATCTCAAGTAATTTGTCTGTGAACCAGGTTTGTAGAGAACTGATCAAAACAACAAACATGCAAGAAAATATTTTTCACAGTATGTTCCATTTCTCCACAGTGCTCCACCTACTCATCATAGATAATATAGTTGTAATAATACATGCAAAACAACAGCCCAGGAATTAGAAAGGTATTCTATTTCCAGGTTTTGAGATGAAGCATATTCTCATCTCATTATTTTCCAGTCTAACTCTGCAGGGGGCAGACCTTCCCTGTCCTAATAAAGCTAAAAATAGGGCTGATGGGAAGGAAACTGCTGCACTCCGTTCAAGAGCTTCTGATTAAACCTTCCATTAGGAAGGGTGCACTCAGAAGTGGGTAACAGCAGGTTCAGCAACAAAACTGACAAACCAAACAGATTTCATGGGATTTGTTCAAGACTTGTTGAAATTAGTAGGAGCCAGGCACTTCAACCGGAGTCAGGCACCTAGATACCCTTAAGGCTCTGGGTCCCAGGACCCACTGCCTCCGTGTTCTTGTCTCCATCCCATGGTGAGGACAATTCCTGAGGAACTGAGCCGCTGAAGGCTCTCAGCTGCCAGACAGCTCTTCAAGCCTTCCGGGCCTTTGAGAGTGGATCCTCTTCAAGCTCTCCTCCTCACGCTGCCATTCCTCTTTCCACTCAGGAAACACTGCTACAGGTTGACTTCTCATGCAGTCAGGACACAGCTCACTGCAAAGCTCTATCCTGCCTCACTGAGAGGTGGGCTAACGAATGCAAGCTAAGAGATTTTGATATTCAATAAAGATTTTGATGTGCCTTCCATTGTACCCTACAGAATTTACTGGAAATGACTCCTTCCTCTGTGCTGCCAAAAAGCAACTGACAGACGGCTGTATTTTAATAACTGTAACTAAAATACGCCAGTACACATACCTTGAATTACCTGTTTTAACACTGATAAATGATTTTTAAATGCAAATAATATACGAATGGATGTATAGTCTAGTAAAATAACACCGCTGTTTAAGAAATGAATATTAATAAGCATTCAAATAGTATGCATACTAGACACCTGATATCAAATACTGTAACGCAAGTATCAATGTATTTCATTAATCTAAAGAAAAGACAATGAGTAAGAATAAGTGCAAAAGTCAGGCTCAAATTAAGAAGTAGTCATGGAATCAACTACATGACAATATGGCAGTTTTTACAGAAGTCACGTCTCCTGTAGAAAGATGGGAAAAAAGGAAGAGTTCTGGATTTCACCATCCTGTGGAATTACTTCTGGTTTGGAATGTCCTAAATATTTATCACTTCCAGCATCATCTTGTTTCAGGAAGTAAAAAAACCAAGCAAACAAAAAAACCTTTGGAGACCATGGCAAGCAATCTCATTGCATGAAGAGAGACTTTATAACTACCGTTCTTCTGTACTCACGTGACTAACGATAATAAGCAGTTATATTGTAGATTGTAAACCTGGACCCAAAAGAGTCCAATGCAGTTTATAGATTTGTTTCAGTTCCGGTCTAAGAGAGAAACACACCATCTACAGAATCACTCACTCTGTTTCTTGAGAAATTAATATTTGGAGGCCTATTATTGACATCCAGGCTGAATCTCTCTGTGTATCAATTAGTTCTGACAGAGCCCAGTTAAAGATTACAATTCTAGCAGTTGCTTTGGGAAAATATAATTCAGAAGATACCAGTAATATTTTCTTGCAATTGGTTGTCCACAAGCCTGTGTGATTAATATAATACACAGATAAAATTATTTTAAACTGCAATAAAAGTTTCCATTATACAAGTAGGAAAGAATTGGTCTTTTGTATTCTGCTTTCTAAGGTTCTGAGATACCTGATTTCCCGCCGACTTCAACTGTTTTCAGTTTTATTTTAATGCTAGGAGAGAGCATACAATATCTTGCAGACTTTGTTACCTTAGTGAAAAACCTGAAAGTTTCCTATCGGCTTTTTACTTAAACGTAACTTCATACTTACGTCGTAAAGGCTGGGTTTAGTTTAGCTCCAAGGTAGTAGGAATACAGTATGAACATTCCAATCATAAATGCAAGAAACACCATAATAAAAAGGACCATAAACTTGAAGATGTCCTTAACAGTCCTTCCAAGTGAAATCTGCAGGGGCCCAAAACTCTCATTTGCAGGCAGGATATATGCGATCCGAGAAAAGCTAAGAACGACAGCAATTGCATAAAGGCCTTCAGATATTATCTGAGGATCAGATGGGAGCCATTTATCTCTAGCTGGAAGATATGAAATATAGGGGTAAATATAAGGTGTTACTCATTTATCACAATGTTGAAAAATAAATCTTGACAGAATTTTTCCATGAACATGTCTGAATTTAGTCAAGACAAATATTTGGAGAGTTTAAGTCACAAAAGATGAATGTAAGTTACATTACCTTTTGCTAGAAGAAAACCCGTACTTGAAGAAACATGACATTTTCTTCTGCAGTTTGCATTTTAACCTGAACTATATAACAATAAACAATTGCTTGTTGCTTTTCTTAACACGACTGTATTACTAGCTATCTTAATAAGCACTATGCTAAAGCCAGAAATTTATTCATATTTTGTGTTCCATTGATGGGAAGTTAACAGTGTTGGTTGATGAACAATTTCATTTATTAATCACACCAAGCTTTTGCCATTGCTACAAGTTCAGGATATAACCTAATTCCTGTTAAAATCATGAAGATTTTTGCCATTTACCACAATGGAAGTAGGATCGTGGTTTTTACACACAATATGCACAGAAACAATTGAGTTTTATAGAAATTCATAAATTGTTTATTACGTGAGTTAATGCACCATTTTAGCAAAATAACACTGAATTAAAATGTGTTTCATATCAAAATACCATGTGTTTCTAAATGTCTATTTACATATGTACAAATTCAGATTGATTATACAGCAATTAACGTAAATAACAAAACCAAATCTGCTATTATAATATATTGAATTTCATAAAGCATAGGCTAAAATACACCATCAGCAGCAAATACAGCCTTTGCTGGTGTTGCAAATAGAGATTTATCACACCTTTAATGACAATTTCCGCACCGCAATAACTATTTAGTACTTTTATTCTATTTGAGCAGATCTTTACTGGGCCAGCATCCTTCCTT